TCCTAAATTAACCGAAAATGTATCCAGATATTTGAGTATATTGAGTTGATAGTTGAGACAGTCTTACTGGATACTCATATTTTCTCCTAGAATCTGAGAGTTTGTCAGCATATTTTCTACAATTTCTTTATAATTTGCTGCTTTATAGTTACCTAGGAAATTTTCGATTACCAACGCTATATATCCAAACTTCACTTTTCTAAACAGTAATAACTTTACTAAAATCTGTACCTTTCATTAATAGCTGTACTTGAGTACCATCAAATTTTCCACTTTTCACTTTTCTTTACGAAGCTTTGAAACCTTTCGACAAACATCCAGCCCGGTTTGACAAACTTTCCTATCATTCCTAAACTGATCACGTATTAAATCCTTGACTTCATTTTGAGAAAATTACTTTGGCGTATATTTTTCAACTTCCCTTTCACTTCCACTGGTAAATTCTACCGATATTTGGGGGTTTCGCGACTTCATTGTTTTTTAGGGTAATCGAATTGCTTTTGAAATTCAGAGGGTTTATGTTTAATTTTTATTAAAGCTTTAAAACTTTCTTCATAATTTTTTGCATATTTCCGGTAGTGAGTCTGAAAATGGGGATTATGTGATATTTGTATGCGCGAAAAATGGGAACCCTAATCATGACTGGAAATATAATGTTTATTAATAACAAGCCGATAATTGATCACAATATAAGATATGAAATTATCATATATTTCATGAATAAATTCATAATCTGGGTACTTAAAACCATCGGAATTTACATAACTATCTAGTGCAAAAAAAATAGTTTTTTTGTAGAGCACAGCTCAAGAGTAGACACCACAGAAAACTTTTTTGATTAATTTCACATCGTTCAATTTTGTTTATAAATTTTAATCAAATTATTGACATGTCTATTAAGGCGATTCGCATTTTCAGCAGTATTTATGGTAGTTAATAGATTCTTTTGAATTAAAGTTTGATTCCCAATATACCATACTGCTCCTCATTAAGGGGCACAGCATTATAATTTTTGAAGAAAAGAATTAATTATTTTGGAAATATATGTGATCGGAGAAAATAGGTCCTTCACTGCTGCATTGATTCCAGCCTTTTCTATGACTGGAATTCTTACTTGAAGATATTATATTATGCGTACATTGACTTATGGTCGAAAAAAAAATTAAAAATTTACGAAATGGCGGCGTTTTTTTGCTGTTTTGCTCCTATAAAAATTGGGTTCTCGATCAGATTAAAAAACTGTCATTATCTGAAGAACTATTTACAGAACATGCAGAAAAAATTAATTCATTTGCCTCCGAGTGTTCTTCAAATAGTTCGAAAAATGTAGTTTCGGGAAAAACTTGTTTAAGGATAAACTGGTTAAATGGAGCTGGACTGATGAGCTCAAAAAAATATGAAAGTATAATTAATTGTTTTTAAATTTGTATCAGCTCATCCTTTTCGTAGTGACGTCAGATTGTGATTATTAAATTACACAATTGTTAATCTAAATACATAATATGTAACTACTTACAATAAGAATTTTATTGCGAATTTATCGCCTCTAAAATAATTTTCTAATAAACAATTACTAATTAAGTTGGTTTACAAAAGTGTCTGTGTTAATATTTCTATTATTATATGACAACGTAATTGTTTGCAGTTAATAATATAATCACAATACAATGTTAATAAGTACATAGAGTGTTAATCTCTGCTGCGGGTGCAAACAGCTTTTTATTGCCATTACAAAATGTTAAATAAATTACTATGAATGAGTGGAGGTTAGAGGTAAATGACTAACGCCACCACTGTCGTAGTGTTTAACACAAGTTGGGCGATTGATGGAGCACGGGTGATGTGAGGCGCACACTCAACTCTTGCTAAAATGTCGTCAGTGAATGGCTGATTAAATTTTATGAGAATCTGATTTATGAAATCTGTTATCTGTTTGCATTAAGTTGATTTTATAGTAATTTTTAACTTTAACTCTCTTGGTTCATTTTGCAAATACTGACGTATTTAACTTTTTTTCAATTCTCGTTAAACTTTTAGGCTATTTCTAATAATAATTTTTATTTTTACCGCCCAGTGTAGCTGATAATATATGAGGATGCCTGTTTGGGAAGAATCGAAAATGTTGTGCAATAACTAATACATATAATGTTCATATTATATATTACATATTTATTTCACTAAACTCTTCATTTGTCGAACCTGGCAGTTTTCTCACAAATTTCAGTATTACACTTTCCACTTAATAAAGCTTGGCTATAAAAGCGGTGTTCATTCCGTTGGCTTAACTATTTACTCTCAAATTAAAATAAAAAGGATGTTTCATCAGTTTTTATAAAAATCTGATAATTGTATTTTTTCGGTCTTGGAGTAATTGCATTTATGGTATATTCAACTTTACCTGAAACTCTCGCGGTTATCAGGTTACTAGGATATTATGATTTAAGTTCTTCAATTGGTAACATTACGAAGAGAATAAATTCCGCTCCAAAGTGGTTAAATAAGAATTTCAGTAATTTACTATATGATGTGAAATTTTTGCCGCCACCTTGATATACGTATTCGACAAGCAACGAAAGAGTGTTGAATAACTGATCCAGAAGTTAATACGGTGGAAAATAAAAGTCTATAAAATGAGAACCTACCTAGATTTGTGTTTCTGAGTAGTTGAACTGCCTTGACTCATAGCAGAAAACTCTCTACTCGAATTGAATAATTTCCATACACATATATAATATTACAAAATGCCTAGTTTTATAAAATATTTTTCGACATACATACATTTTTAAACTTCTATTTATCTTAGAATTTTTCCTCCTCATATAATAAAGTACTAATACATTCTTCGGAAATTATGAAAAGTAAATAAATTGAACTTTTAATTTTTGACAAGCCCTTGAAAATTAAATAAACAACATTATTAATACAATGAACCCACATCTTACATAACCATTCAGTCGACGAACAAATTTATTAAAACACAAATATCAAAAAATTAAATAGAAGATGGTAAAATGAATTGATAAAAGAATACAAAAAAAAACATATAGATGTTATGAAGAACTTTAACCTTCACCTCTAGAACAATTGAAGAGAATAGCTACAGACTTATGAACAATAAGATTCAGAAGTTTTGTGTAGGCATATGTAATTAAGTCACCTCCATCGGGGGCGAGAAAAACGTTGATAAAATGTGAACTACACCGTAAAATCGACCGCCCAAAGTGCATTCATTGCATTCGAAAGCAATTGTAGTCGCTACAAAGCGTGTTGCCCGAGACAGTCAGTGGGCGTTCAAGGTGTAGTGTGGCATGCCACGTGCGCAACAATACAAAAGTTACAGTTTTTTTTTCTTTTCTGTTGTGGTTTTCTATTGTAAGCTGATATTCGATATAATACAGCTAAGGAAAAAATGTATTTTAAATGAGATGGTAGACAACGTCTGTGACGATACCTTGGTGACAGTGGCAAAGTGACACTGACAATGAAATTTATTCGGCGCACGGAAAAAATTACGTGATTCTTGTTCCCTTTGACAGGTCATTAGATTTTATAGCTGTCAACTGGGGTAATTTACTAGTTCAGACTATTATATGGGAACTCTATAGAAGGATGTGTTGGGATATGGAAAACTTGTAAATAGCTTAAGGTATACAAAAAGGTACATAGGAGATGTGTATGTCTTTTTTGTCACACGCTTCGCAGTGTATATTCATATCTTAGTAAGGGGATATGTTACTAGATGTATGCAGAAAACTAAGGACTGTGATAAAATATTATATGTTAATGCAGGAATGATTTGAAGTTTTATAGTCTTACAACATGTTGCTACATAGTATAATAGTTTGGTCACATAACTGTTGTTTGTAACACCTAAAACTAATCGAGATAGATACATAGTTATATATATAACGATTTCAACTCATCCAATGGCCAGCACAAAGTCCCGACCTTAACCCGATTGAAAGTTTGTGGGCTATTGTAAAGAGAAGATTGTGCAAATACCGAACAGCGCCGAGCAATATGAAGGAGCTATGGAGCAGAGTACAAATCGAATGAAGAAGCATACCGAAGGAAATAATAGAAAATTTAGTTGAAAGTATGCCGAGACGTGTAAAAGGTGTAATTAAACACAAAGGTCTTTGGAGCAAATATTAAATAATGTAATTTGAGGTCATTTACTTTTTACGAGCAAAACTGTTCTTAATGAGTTTATTTCAGTTTTTGCGGTATTTCTCTTTTGTTTTTGTGAATGAAAATTTATTTCAAATATTATTTTATTGTACAATAAATACACAAACCTTTCCTGAAAATTTGATAATATTTAAGCTGTCGTAAAAAATTTAACAGCACTTAGAATGCAAAAGTGGCGCACATCCAAACGGTCTTGCTCGCCACTGTAGATACAAGTATAAATGATCCGGATGACGAGAAGAGTGGAAATCCGGTTGACTGTTTATCTGTCCGTCCGTTCGTTTGTCTGTAACTTGAGTAAAAATTGAGATATTGGCACGAAACTTGGTGCAGGTGCATAACAGGATACAACTTTGTGCGAATAGTGCCTGAGAAGTGTGCCATCTGATGACCAAAATTTTCCTATTGCGAACTTTTTACCGAAAATATCGGTCAACCTTTGAGATATGTTATTGATATTCAGAGCAAATTCTTTTCTGATAAATGTATGCTAAAAAATCGAATCAATAATTTCCTTAATCCTTAAATACCTAATACTTAAGTACCAATTTGAATATTAAAGTCAGGTCTGCAGGTTTCAAAAATTAGTAGGTAATTGAAAAATTGAGTGTTTAAATCAAGAGTTTACTGTTACATATTGTAAAAGTCCTCCTATGAGATGATTTAATATTATATTTTTAATAAAAATACAAATTTTCAAAAAGAAAACCAATTTTTACTAAATTGCTATTGTTAATACCTAATGAATTTCTATTGTAAAATTTTTACTTTTTATTTCCACAAACAAAAAATATGGTGATTTGAATTACCTGGACTCTCCACTCCCATTATTGCATCTGAATCTTCTATGCAGAGTTGCAATGAAGAAATGCAAATGTTAGTAAATGGACAGGCATGGAAAATAAGCAAATTTTATGTGGATTAGTAAAAGTAGTATTTAGTATTGAATTTCTAATATTTATAAATGCATGCTAATATAAATTAAATAATCACGAGCACTTACTTCAGTACCATTTATTCTAATTTTATGAACACATATAAGAATGCAAAAATTAAATAAGTGATAATAAAACTTATGTAATCTTTACGATTGATTAATGAGAACCAGTTGTCCAACACAATTAACAGAAAATTACACAAGATTATTTCTATTATTGAATACAACATCTGCTATTAAGTATATTCCCAAAACAATCCGGCCCTAAAGAGCAATTCCGCCTCACTTTAGTAAACTTACAGCGATTTCAACTATTTCAATCCGACCTTGGAAGTGAAACTTCGGGAGTAAGTTTTCTTATGTTATATACGTAGATAGCTTGATCTGAGAAGAGTTTTTCCGCAATTTCTCGATCCATAATTCTAGCACACAGTCTATATTTTGTATACAGACAGTTGAATCTACTAATGAGCGCCAATGATACTTTATAACAAACTTTACAATAATTAACCCTTCGGTCTTAATGAAATCATATCTTTTCTGTATAATTTTGAACAAAATAATATTAAAAAAAATTTGTAAATGTCTCCGTATAGAGATGTCTTCACCTCTGCATTCAATGAATACAAGCCTATAAATAAACCAAATAATAATCACGCAAAAATGCAATAAAATTATGTGAGTTTTGTTGCGCGCACTTTAAAAATAAATATTGCTCGCATTAAGAAAATACTTTTTTCCAACTGCCTGTGTAATGATGGATAAATGCTCATCTGTCTTCGACATGGCACCGAAAGAACAAACGGCGACTACACAACGACAGCAACTACATATTAGCAACAACAGGCTTGACAAGAAAACCAAAAGCTTAACAACGTTCAAGCAATTTGCAGCATTACAGCAACAAATATGTGCATTAATATAGTGAAAGAATGCATGTAGTCATGTTCATGCATACTTATTGTTGTCTGTATGTAAGTATGAACCTACAAGAGCAAGAAACACAGGTGCCAAATGTTGCAGACTTTCTTCGAAGACAGCAAACTGCTACTGCCGCGTGTCTTTCGTATTGTAGCAACATCGGGATGATGTGTATGTTTAAGCGATTTATAGTTCTACGAATATGTTTTTATTTTTTAAAAATAAATAGGCAAATAAAAGTAAAGCAGCGGAGAGGCAAAGCACTAGCGTGAGCAACACATGATTTCAAAGTCAAAATTGCATTTTTATTTCACTAATTTCATAATTTTCGAAACATAAATGCAGAGAACATTAAAACTTACACACATTTGTTTGCATGCTTGTAAAAATATATTCTTCTGTGGGCACTGCGCAGCGCATGAGGTATCTCGACAGCCCGCAGAATGGAATGAATGTTCGCTCGTTCGCCGACAATGAATGAAAAGTTGCTTGGGCGGACAGATGGGTAATCAGTTTGGTTAGGCTTTGCCTTGTAAACAAACAAACAATGACGATGACGCAGACAACAATAAACATGGTCATGACATAATGAAAAGAAGCAAAGCAGGGATCCAGGGGCGGTGACTAACAAACAAAGCAAACATATGCAAAATCTAAGAGCATCGAGAAAAAAATTTGCATTCCATGGACAAGCTGACGGCTGCCGTATGCTTTATGTCGCCCACTTAAGTTGCAACACATCAAAAGACGATGAATTTCGCGACTGGCAAAAAAGTAAATTTCTTTGAATGCAATTTCCACTAGTCTTAAGCGCTCTCAAAGCGTGTCATAATTGATTGATTGATCTTACATTTTTGGACGAAAATACAATTTAAAGAAGAGTTCTTGAAAAATTATGAATAAATTGAGTGAATTTGAGGTGAAACCAAACCATTTATATACACTTAAAACTTTAGTTATTGAGAAATTTGTATATAGTACCAGTTGGTTGGACTAACTTTTTATTTGGACAAAGTTTTGAGGTGGTTTTATCGCCTCGTGCGACTTTGTAGCCAAATCTAAATCTGTATTTTGAACTGATTAGGGTTTAAGTCCAAAATCTACGAGACCTAAGTGGTTCGTCCACATTCTCTTACTCGTAAAGCAAATAGCGGAAATAAAATGGTATGGTTCTTAAGTGTTTACGCAAGTAATATCTTCCACAACTCCCAATATTGTAACTTTTTGGGTAGTTCGGACCAAAATTGGTAGTTTCATTTGCCTTGGTAGTTTGGTTGGTAGGCATAAGCTTTTCGTAGGTAATATTTTTTATCAGATGTATTTGGAATGAAAGTTAATCTTAAGATCGCTTAAAATTTCAGACTTTCTTGTTTACTACTCATACTAACTAAAAAATAGTCATGAATGGTAGCCTGCTCAATGTGTGAAAATGAGAGATCTAACTATAATTGAAACTGTGAAATCAAGTTAGGGAGTATCAAGGATTTAATACATTCATGCATTTTTTATTTTCATGCATCAAATTGAAGTTAAAGGCGCTCATGAGCAAGTAACTCATGGCACGAAGGACATATGTATATTTGGTATGTCGGTTTATCCAGAAACAATGATAAGTAGGAGTTTAACCAGCTACAATATTCAGATGACTCTAGATATTCGGGGTAACTTGAGCTTTTCGTCTGCGATGGGTGGTGGTTTGACTCCAACTACGGTTTCTGCGAAATCATTGTGTTCGACAGGAGCATCAAGAAACATCCTGTAATAGTCCGGGGTGTAGTATTCCAACTCGTTTGAAGCTTCTTCGTCTGCATTTCACTACATCCAGACGACCATATCGGTGCAGTGTAGTTGATAACCGGCCGGCCGATTGCCTTGTATGTAGCCAACAACGTTTCTATGTCTTTTCCTCAGGAGCTGTTGGCTAGTGACTTTGTTGCAGTTCTGCACTTTGGCATTAAAACACAGTCGTATATGGATTGATGGAGCACAGGCTGTCAAATGTAACGCCTGAATGTTTAGGGTTTTTGACAGCGATTCCTTGCCATACACATGCTATAGATCCTTTCATTATCTACAACATTGCCGTATATTTTTACCAGAAATCGGGATAAACCGTTTTTAGTCCTTCAACATTCAACCACGCTCCTCCCCTTCCTTTTACCGACCTCAGATCGGCCGTAAATTATTTTTACTATAATGCTTGCCATTTATCTTTAATTATTGATGGATTTAATCTACTATGAATTTCTTTCATTTTTATCATTTTCAGTCTTTGTTGTAGCCTAGAATTATTAGAATTTCTAAGTTCCAGCTTTCACATTACAAAATGTTTACAAAATTGTTTCTTAGATCCACTATTCCAAATGCGTTCTTCAAGTATTTCCTATATTAGTAAATTTTCGAGCAGAATATTGGATTTATCGAGCCCTCAGGTGAGTGAAAAGTATTTATAGACTAGTCAGAAAACTGGATTATTCTGGCAAAGTCGGACACGAATTAGATAATTACCATAAGCTTGAAAGAGATAGAATCATAACACATAATGCGGGAAAGTAATTGTTTTGCTATTGTCTGCAATCAAAATTTGTTGGAGGATGAAGTAGATTCAAGCCGCTTCATAGAGCTGATCATATTTTAGAAGATAAGTTTTTAAATAAAGATAACCTTTGTTAGAAAAAATCAAAACTATGTTAATGCTTACATAGAAGCAGTAATCCACCAAAGAACCGCCTACTTTTCTATGAAATCGGTCTTCAAAAAATTAAGATATTAACAAAAACATGTTTTAAAATCAATAAAAACCATCATTCCAATATAATTTAAATTTTTTTAAATTTTGTATGCATTATTTTAAATGAGTTTTGATGCAAATATACATTCATGCTTACATATATAACTAATACTGTTAACATTTTGATATATATTAAAATAATTGACGAGTATAAGTGTATGTATTGGCATTAGCACTCACCTTCATTCACGTAGCCGCCCTCCATCGTGCCAAACGTGTACAAATTGTTGCCACGAATTTTGTTGTTGTTATTGTTGTCTCGCCGATATTTCGTTAAGACTTATTTATATATGCTTTATTTTTGATTTTTATGTTTGATTATTTTGTTTCTTTTTTTTATATTTTGAGTTTTTTTCTCAAAAACCACTCCTGCTTGTTTTCACGATTCCCGTTAAATAACAACAACAAACAGCTCAAGTTTGTTTTTTCCGGCTGCCGCTGTTTGTTAGCTCTTCCGCACTTTCAACACACTTAGCAATACTTAAGCATGTAGTTGCCACTTGGATTTTGGAAAATTCTTGAAATGCACTCAATGATTTCCTCAAATGTGGCGGCTTTCTTTCCGAACGCGAAACTTGGAAGAAGTAGAATTAAGTGTAGAAAGAGTCAACAACAATTTTTATTGTCGCTTAATACAAGTTGCAACGATGCCGGCGAGTTGATTCGTACACGCCTCCCGCTTCCCACTCACTCGCCAACTCTGGCAGCACTAAAATAGGCACAAAGTGGCACACTTAAGATCCAATTCGATCGACAATAGCGACAAAGAGGAGAAGCTCATTTCATTTGCATTTCACAATTATTATTTTTTATTTCTTTTTTCACTTTACTCTGCGACGCTCACACTCGAGAAAACACTAAAAATAGGAACAAGAAGCAAATGAGACAAATATAAAATATTGTAGAAAAAGTGTGAAAAATACAAAAACAAAAAGTGGTAAAACGTTCGGGAATAGCGAGGCAAATAATTGGGTTGTGGGCAGCGAATGCACTGCTGCAACTGCAATAACGGCAAAAATCGCAGCAATTGGTTGTGGCTCGTTATAAAGAGGCGCGTTGTCTTGTCTTTTTCGATAGAGATTTCTATTGACATGTGCGTATGTACAACTATGCATGTATGTATGCATGTATATCTATGTATAATGCCAGTCAGCTGCTTTTATGGCCTGCGCGTTGACGCTGCAACCAATGTTGGCGCGCACTTGCAGCCGCGCCAATTTGCATAATCGCTAGGAAAGTGTGCCTCAAACAAAGATCTGTCGATTGAGATGCGCACATACATAAGTATATGCATTTAACATATTTTTTGTGTTGTTGCAATTGTTGGTATGTTGTTGTTGTTCGCCGTTTATTTTCACATTTGCTTGTTGTGCACCAGCGAAATGTGCAGTTTATTTGTAACAACTTTCGATTATGCTCACTTTTATTGTTATTATTATACAAATTTGAGAGATTTGCAGTAGTTATTGAGCTTTTTATTGCATGCGATATTTTCTTTTATTTCATAATATTTTTTTATTATAAAACTTAAAATAGTTTAATCACATGTATTGTTTCTTTAGTAAAATTAATGGTGAATTACAGCTAAACCTGAAATGAAACAAAATAATAATTTTCATTAGAATTATACTTATAAAATATTATGATATATTAAAATCTAATACAGTTAATATATATTTTAATAAAACTATTCGGCAAACTCTATATTTTTTGGAGTATTTGACCAAACCAAGCTTTTTCAAAGGATTGAGTCAAAAGTAGAAAGGTAATTCCTTCGTTTTTCGAAGCCTCCAAACTCGGAATATTGGTATTCGATATTCCGAATTGAGCTTATTGAAAAAATCATTATTAAACAACCATACAACCTCTAATTAATTTAATGTGGAGCTTGGTAGTAGCAAAAGTACTCTGGCGGATTGTCATTACTTGGCGAGCTTAATAGAAATACTACTCTTTTCAATGCTGTTTGAAATCTGGTATCGAATTAAAGTTCTTTGGAAGCGTTCACGGGGCTGCTATGTCAGAGATCGCAGATAATTTCATAGCTTTTTTCAAAGAAATCCTACAACGTATATTTAATCCGGTGTGTGCTTTTAATGTAACCCAGTTCACAGACACTGGTCTGCTATGTCAGAGATCGCAGATAATTTCATAGCTTTTTCGGTGGTTGTATTAGCAAATACTTTTCTTCAATAACAGTTAATTTCCTTGATTATCAAAAAATAAAAACCTCCTAATAACTGTAAATTTACATACTCTTATCATATAAGCTCAAGCAGGAAAGATAGAACCAAGATTAAGGCATGCCACGTCCAAAAGGGAGGAGGCTGTTATACCCTCATGGCAATTTTATACAATTTCATTCATAGTGCCACTTTTCTAACAAATCCACGCCAAAACAACAAAACAAGTAATCTTCGGATATTCTAAACCACCTTCGCAGGTCCATTGCCTATAGCATAAAAGGTATTTATCTTTGTTTTGATCGGTCAGTTTGAATGGAAGCTATATGCTATAGGGGTCCGATCTGAACAATTTGCTGAAAGATTGTAATGTTACTTTGGATATTAATCTATTTTTGTGAAGAGACCTTAGACCTCAAATAAAGAAGTTTTCCATACAGGGACTTGAGTTTGATCGATCAGTTTGTATGACAGCTATGTCCTTTGGTCGATCGATATCGACGGTTCCGATAAGTGACCAGCTTCTTGAAGAAAAAAGTACGTGTACAAAATTTAAGACCGATATCTCAAAAACTGAGGGACTAGTTCGCATACATACAGGCAGACGAACGGCCATGGCCAAATCGACTCAGCTCGTCGCGCTGATCATTTATATATACACTTTAAATGTTCTCCGACAAAATTAATATATTAGTGATGATAACTGCAGATGACTTTAAATAAACAATATAATAGTGAATAATATTTTTTTATAAGAGAACCAATTCCGTCCGAACTATTTCCTTTTAAATTTATAGGCCTAATTATACTAAGAAGTTCGCACGTACAGTAAAGATTGCACGAATTCATTCAAAACGCGTTTGGAATTTATTTACGGACAAAAACTGTTTCAACAGCCGCATGCCACAATACTATTTGGAATATATTTATGCTGCTAGAACAACTAAAACACTCAAGAACACGACAACGAGCTATAAGAAATCATATAGAAATAGTCTAAGGAAACTAAAATCCGGCCAGGATATTTAAATAACCAAAAATTACATAGAAGAAAGCAGATACGCGAAGTCTGCTCAGACAATGCCCTGAATTGCCAAAAAAATAATTTAAGTGCCTTAGTTGCGATCCCAAGAATAGATATGCAAAGTATGTTCAAGACGCACCTATTGTTTTTCAAATAAATGCACTTTTAAACTCTTTACATTCTCAGAAAGTTACAACACTTCCCTAAGCATGTACACATATTCTATACTTATGCATCTGTATTTGTATATTTATTTATTTAATTTGAATATGCTTTTGTTCCTCGCCATTTCTCATCGACACCATGCACCATTAAGCAGAAAATTTTTTTCGCACGCCACATAATTCGTGTCCATCACTAAAAGCGAGTGAAACCTTGCCACATTTCTTGCGTTTCTAGCCAAACAAATTTGTTGCAATAATACACACAATAAGCGTTAAACAAGCAAACAAGAAGTTTATACTCATAATTGTAAAAGCCACATTCAACACAATGCATTTAAGTTGAAATGTGATGTGTATATGTATTTGAGTATGTACATGTGTGTGTCAGTTCACCTATTTAATGCACAATCATCCCAACCGAACCCAGTGCATATTTTATGTAGGATGTGTGTATAGTATTTGTATGTAAGTGTACAGGGTGGTTTTCAAATTCAATATTTTACAATACAAGTATATCAATTCGTAATACACTTATCTATCTACCCAAGAATTTCATTGCCGCCTGAACATTTACAATTTATAGAGTTGTGACTATTTCGTATTTAGTGTGCGATTCTCTCATCCAACACCTGGGCAGAAAGTTATTGTTGTATTTTCCGTAATGCAAGAAACAAAAGTTGATTAATAAATCAAAATTTTTTACATAACTCCTGTTTTTATGTGTTTTTATGTTTGCGACTGCTTAACGGCCGCATCTGGTAATCGAAAAACCGTAACGAAGCCGACACCTATTTGAAGAGTGAAGATTTAGTTCTTGTTTTTTGCACTTTAGAAACATTGGGTTATGAAATTTTGGTAAGCGAGGCACGGTAAACGATTTTCGTGGTCGTAAGTTGAAGATATCGCTACTCCATCAATTAAAGGATTCAGGAGGTTATGTGTCGTGTCACATAATCTATGACACAAGCGATATGTCTATTCGTCTTAGTAATTCCAAGTCGGAGCTGTGATTAGACGCCAATCGAATTTGTGTGAGAGATGCCATGGACGACCGATGTTAGTAAAATCTCATTCTCTAGCTAGAGCCTGTCAGTAATCAAAATATTTCAAAACTGAGCTAACCGGATGCGCTACTGCGAATCCGCTTCGAGAAGGTCACATGAATAGAATACTGTTTATAATAAAAGTAACTTTTTCTACGATTAAAACAAAAAAAATAAAGAAACTTTTTTTTTGAAAAACTAAGAGCATATACATTTGAGCCACCCCGTAACTGAGAACACTAACCCTGTACTTTCTGTTTATATTTCAAGTAAAAATATAATCTCTGCAAACATTCCCGTTTTATATCTGCCTGCCGACTTGACTGAGATTTATTACAGCTTGCCTGCGCGATAATATCCACCAGCACACGCCAGTGCCATTGTCAGTAGTACACTTGAATACCTTTTTAGTTATACCCCATATACACAAACATGGAGCCGTCATACAAACTAGCAGTGCGTCTAAAATTAGCATCGCCTTCAACTCGGCTGTCTCTGCCGCCACAGCAGGAAGATCTGCATATTTGCCAAGTGAAATATGCATGGATGCAATGCGGACTGGCCTCTATATTCGCATTTGCGAATTCAAGTGCTATTGTACCCATACAAATACAAGTAAGTCGCTTGTAGTATTCACGAGTGCGCCTTGACATTTGTGCACGGCACTTTCGGTTCTTGCGGGAAATTTTAATGCGCCACATAATGAGACAAGTTCAGTGAAATGAGATGTAAGTACAATTGTAAATATGTATGCATAATTTTTTGTTCATAAAATTCATATCTTGTTTGCATATACCTAAACACAGTGGCGACGGCAGTCAGTCAAATCGTCAACACTGTCAAACTGCCATAGATATCATGCATATTGTAATAAAATGTAATTATATTGTACGATTAAGCGAGGGTCAAGCTGTCCATGCCGCATGGATGGCGTCTCATATGACGTGCTGACAGCACTGAGATGAGCTGTCACTTGTCTAGTAAATAAGCATGCAAAAATTTCTTATCCGCCACGAGGAAACGTTATTTTGTTGGAGGTTTTGCACTTCTAGAGACTTATAAGATATAATAATAATAGATATGTAATGAAGCTGAAAAATTAATAAAGTTATCTATTGAAAACTAAAATCTAAATTAAATTTCGAGTGACGTCATATTAGCAATGCTTCGAATATGAATGAAATTATTGAGAAGTTCTTCCTTGTAAATGACTTGTCAAGCAGCTAATGTTACGTCATTAAAAACCAACAAGAAAAAACGTTAACTTCGGTTGCACCGAATCTATACGACCCTTCACAAATACAAAAGGTTCCTTAGAAAAACTTGATTCCGATCGTTCAGTTTGTATGGCAGCTATATGCTATAGTGACCCGATATCCACCATTCCGACAAATGAGCAGCTTCTTGGTGAGAAACGGTCATATCCTAAATTTATGATCGATA